ATTTTATTATCTTCGAAGGTAAAGCCCAATGGGCCCATAATTTGTAAGGTTTGGTTGGTTGGTTGGCGGAAGACACGTGGGCCTTCGTCCAGCAACATGTGGCCCACGTAAGAAGATCCATTTTATAGCCCAGCGATTATGCGACGCAAGACTGCAAGAGAAAGCCCAATATATAATAATACGCTATAAACTAACACTTCAGAGACTTTAGTGGAGGCGCGATTTAGGGTTTTCGGCTTTGTGCAGAGCTTTAATACATACATCTCTGTATCCTCAAGAGTGCCTCTGGAGCTCAACCATGGCAGAACAGGTTCAGATCTTTATGTTCTTTACATCCAATGCTAAGGCTATTATATGACTTAGATCTGATGTCTGTTTTTGCTTTGTTGTTTTAGACGGAGAAGGCATTTTTGAAGCAGCCGAAGGTGTTCTTATGGTAAGTTGCTCAACTCTTTTATTGTCCATTTATAGGCTATCTTTTTTCCATGTTTAGAGCTTGCTGTATATTGTAATATTGTAATGTTTATGCATGATTCTGTTAATATATATATGTTTTTTTTGTTTCTTGTGTATTCATTTTAGCTCGAAGAAATCGGGAAAGGGGAAGAGACCAGGAAAGGGTGGGAATCGCTTCTGGAAAAGCATTGGGTTGGGGTTTAAGACACCCAGAGAGGCAATTGAAGGTTTGTTTGAATTTCTCACTGCGTTGCTCTTTTTGGGCTTTGTTTAACGTTCATTCACAAGACCCTCATTTCTGCATTCTGTTTTTAACTGAGATGAAGCTTATTGCTGTTTGTCTGTGGTTGATTTAACCCTGAAATGCAAGTATAAAATCTAAACTTTAGAAGTTATAACTAAACTTTAGGCTGTTGATTGGTCAGTCTTGATTAAAGATGGTTTGCTGGGCAAATTATCTTACTTGCATTATCTTACTTGTTTCGTTTACTATCCCCTTGTCAACAAGGATATTCCTAGTCTTCTGGTTATGTTCTTCTTTCTTGATGCTACTGTGAAATGAATATCACCTTGTCCTAAGGAAGTTTATAGTGGATTCTTTTCGTTTATTTTCAGGAACTTATATTGACAAGAAATGCCCATTTACTGGTAATGTTTCTATTCGAGGCCGTATTCTTGCTGGTACTTGCCACAGTGCCAAAATGATGAGGACCATCATTGTTCGGCGGAACTACCTTCACTTTGTGAAGAAATACCAAAGGTAAGACATTGTCATTTTTTCGGTTTTATGTGGTTTTTCCTGTAGAGAATATATTTTCCATGTTGTATTTATGGGATTCTTAAATTTCTTATGTAATGGAAAGAATGGAATGCTATTGCATTTGAATGTGCTCATGTTTGTTTCTGATCTGCTGTTAACATGTTTCAGATATGAGAAGAGGCATTCGAACATCCCAGCCCACGTTTCCCCATGCTTTCGTGTGAAGGAAGGAGATCATATTATTATTGGACAGTGCAGGTTCTAATTATTTAACTGTTTTTCCGTTGTATCTGATCTTAATATATGTAGCTCTGATGTCGAATATATTTTGGTGTTAATTAATAATGAGACTGTAGTATATGCTAATTTATCAGCAAATTCTGCAGGCCACTTTCCAAGACAGTAAGGTTCAATGTCTTGAAGGTCATCCCAGCTGGGTCCTCTGGAGGTGGGAAGAAGGCTTTCACAGCTATGTGAGATTTTAAATGTTCAGATGGGGGGATGATACTGTCACCATTGAGATTATTAATTAATTCACCGTATGACTCTTGTTTCATTCATATGAAAGATTTTGCTTTCGTTCTTGATTCTGTTGATGAAATTATGAGTTGTTAGTTGGAAGTCTCCATTATCACAATTTTGACGATTTCTGTCAGTTGCTTTAGTATCTTGGATGCTTCTGATTCAGTTCTTCATGTTGGAACTTCAACCCTTTTTTATTATTTCTCTCACCCCTTAGGTAAAGAAATGTGATTTCATTAAAGGGCTCAACCGTTTACATTAAAGGTGAATCTACAATCCTTCAAAAAGCTATAGTTGGATGCCTTTTTTCTTTTTGGGTCTTCTTCCATTGTTGAATGCTCCAACTTTAAAAAGAATGGAATTCACGGTCAAAATGAAATGTTAGTACAAGCAATCAAAAGGAAATTTCACACCTGACAATGCAAGACATACTAAAGAGTCCTCTCAAAGGTGTCTTAAGGATTCCGTGATGCACATGCTAAGAGTGGCAAGGAAGCAAAGTTGGGTTGAGAGCCCTTTTGAAGTGGTGGGTTCGACTTCTCCCATCCTATGATAACCGAAGTCAATAAATCAGAAACGGCAGTTTCTCAAATCTCTATGTTAAATAAGGTTAGGTTGCAGGCTTCAATTCACATATTTATTGCTCTGCTGCTTTACAGGGTGTTGTCTACCCTGATATCAATTACACACATCTTGTATTCCCAATTCAATTTCACCCATTATTTACCTTTGTATTTTGTATTATGTTATATATATCTGGCTTTGAAAGAATTTGAGCTAAATCTTTATGACTCAGCAGCCTTTGCCGCTCATCTAAAACTAGAATGAGATCTAAATTTTTTGTTAGAAATATGGTGCTTTTAATGAGCAGCAGAGAAGAGAAAAGAAAGATGGCTACGCTGTAATATAGTTTACCCAACAAATCAACTAAAAGCAGTGCAGAAAACGCCAAATGCACGCTAACCCCTCTTTTGAATGCTGCTATGGTTATACACGTATTTGGATAACATTCCTTAATTCAGTCGGTTCATATATCCACAACATATATAGCTGCTTAGCTTAGGTGAGCTAAATCAACTTAGATGAGAGTTAGGTGAGAACAAAAACACAAAAATTCCTTCTAGGATTTGGTCTCTCTCATAATCTTGAAATGTTAGCCCCCACCCCACGCCACCCAACCCCACCCTAGAAAAAAAGAAAAGGAAACCCATTACCATTCTGCAATATTATATAAACTGATGAAATGTGTTCTGTAAACTCAGAAAGCAAGGCAGTTTTCAGAGCATGCCAAGAGTGAGAAGAAAGCAAGGAAGATTGGAGGACAACACGCGAGAAAGATGATATGATATGAGTAATGCTAAGATGTTATGTCATTATTTTAAGATGGTACTGGCAGAATCATGCTCATATTATATATGTTTCATCGAAATGATCAAATTCAATAGCCGCACCTTTTGGTTTTCCTTCATTTCATTCCCTGCTTCTTCTTGTGATCCCATTAATTTAATACACTCCTACGCATAAAAATTGAACTAATCTCTCAATCTTATCCTTTTTCATGGCTGTCCAAAACTTACATCCACTAAGTCAAACTAATCCAACAACTAATAATCACAAATCAGAACTATTTTAACGGCCATGATCATATTAAAGAAAAGTGTGCGGGGTGTCCAGAAAGAACATTCGTTTTCTTCCTATGACCATTGGAACCTAGAACAAATAGAAAACACAAACTTACATTCATTATGACACAAACCAAATACTATGTTCATTTTTCTTTGGGAAATGAAATGTGAAATGTGATGTCCTCGGGAATCTCAACATTTATAAATACAAACATCCGAATCAAAAATTTTATATTTAAATTTTAAGACACGTACCAAAGAATATAATATTTATTTTATATAACAGAATATTAACACTTCTCAAGATGTAAACTTAAAAAAAAAGAAAAAAAAGAAAAAGAAAAAAAGAGAGCAAACCCAATTTTGCTTTGAGGTTGACCCTCAAATCCAATACATTTTAGAAAGTTCTAAAACAACTTCCGTTCGGGATTAGGTTGAGAAAATTAGCTGAGATTTTGAGGTTTAAGTATAATTATTTATGAATTTTTTTAATATGTATCTTAAGAATATAATTTAAATAAATAATTAATATTTTTTTTGTTATTAAGTTACATAAAAAAATAAAACTTGATTTTAATTTTAAAATTTTCATAACTAATCAATTAAATTAAAATACATGACATTAATATTAAAATTAATATCAATTTTTTTATCTAAATTAATAAAAAAATATATTAATTACACTTTAAATTTGTGTTTTAAGGTAACAAATCCATTATTAATTTATACGAAATTGAAAAGAAGAAAAAATGGTTTAGACAGAATGGGCCACCTGTTCTCTTTCTTTTCTGTGGATTCGAGGCTTCACCTTTTTTTTTTTTTAATTTCGCATTTACTCCTCCTCCATTTTGGCAGTTTCCATGAGTGAATCCATTTAATGTCGTCCTCCTCCTCCTTCCTCCCCATTATAACCTCCACTGCAACTTCTCTCCGCCGTTTATTTCTCTCTCCACCGTACAGGCTGGAGCAGCCTACTACTACTTCCCGTGATATGCACCTACATCGATCCTCCTTCTCTCTTTTCCATCGTTCCAATTCCAAAATCTAAACAAAACGCTCAACATCCAAAGACGGAAACAAGCATCAACATGTCAGTTGCACCGCCACCGCCGCCTTTGTTTCTGAACAACATCGGAGGCTCTGGAGGAGATTCGCATTCGTCATCTTCAGATATGGAAGGCATTAAGCCGAGCATACTGATAATAATCTTGATTCTTTTGATTACTATAATTGTTTCGGTTTCGCTCTGCCTCCTCCTCCGCCACCTCAACAGTCGCTGCCTTCGCCACCTTTTCCGCCCTGCCTCTGTGGTGGCGACTGGTAGCAGTCGCATCTCTCCCGCGCAAACTACGACCTCCTCGGTCGCCGATTCTCTCCCGATGTTCACCTTCTCCTCCATTACTCGTCGTACCGCAACTGCATCCGTGATTTCCGGAGACTGCGCGATTTGTTTGTCGAAATTTGAGGCGCAGGATCAGCTACGGCTTCTCCCTCTGTGCTGTCATGCGTTCCACACCGAGTGCATAGACACGTGGCTCAACTCCAACCAATCGTGTCCTCTTTGTCGCTTCCCGATTTACGCCTCCGAGGCTGAGGTCTTGAAGATACTACTCTCGTCCTCTAATGGCGGTGTTCATGATAGTTTTGACGGCAGCGACAGTTTTCGGATTGAGATTGGTACCGTGAGCCGCCGCCAGACCGATTCGGAATCCGGCGAGAGGCGAAGGTCGTACTCCATCGGTTCATTCGACTACATTGTAGACGGCTTATCTGAGGTAAGCATGAATATAACGAACCAGAGGAGTGCGTCCGACAAGGAGGAGGTTGGAGGAACTGAGGCGGAGGGGGCGGCGGCGGCTCCTGAGGAAAACCTAGCGGCCGAGATAGCTAATGGCAGGAGTTGGCTCAAGGAGTACATCGACAGGCTATCCTTTTCGGCCTCGTCACGAGCTCTGTCGTTTCGTAGCTCAGGCAGGTTCTTCACGGGGAGCAGTCGCCGCAGCGACGTAGCCGGCGTCGGAGATTGGGATGTGGAAGCGAATCGCGCGGGTGAGGAGATCAGCGAATATTTTCGGTGGCTTTCAGGGGTATGAGTGGTAAATCCGCGGCTGGTTCAAGGGCATTTTTGGACTGTCCGTTATTGGTTCGTCTAGTCACCCCCACTCCCACTCCAATTTTTAGCTTTATCCACTCCTTTAGTAATTTTTTTATCAACAGAAATAAAATTACTAATGGAGTGGACGAAGACGAAGAAGTTTTTTTAAAAAAAAAAGAAAAAAAAGGAAAAAAAAGAGTTTTTCCGTTGAGTGTTGGGCAAGTCAGCATTTTATCTGTAGATAAAGTAAAATTGGAGACATTTATAAATTTGTCGATTTTACATAAATGCCATTTGAAGAACTGTTACAAGTTAATTACAATACAGACATGATGATAAAAAAAAAATTACAAAAAAAAAGGAGGGAGATGAAAAGTCCGTTTCCCAATCGGACGGTTCTGATTTGAAACTCGAAAAATTTAAGGAATTTTTCTGATTTTTTAAAGTAGCTCAACTCTATGTCTAGTTGTCCTTGCACTTTGAATTTTCTACCTTTGATATTAAATAGTGAGTTGTTTCTTTTATATATATATATATATATATATAAAAAAATGTGTTACACTCCACTTGTAGCGGACTGTAATCATCACCGCCGTTCAAAGGGGATTGGCCCTGATATTGGATCCTCCTCTCCCCTTGTCAAGAGTCCTGATGATACAGTTTATCGTAGGGTGGACTGTAACACAGGATTCTAATATATATATATATTTTTTCAAAGACTTTTTTTATTTATTTGTTATTTAATTCTTAAAATTGAAATTAATAAAGAGTTTTTTCAATATATATTCTTAAAGCACAGCTTAGTGATACATTTTTTTTTCATAAAAGCATACATAAACCCATTAATAAAAATTTATTAAGCTTTAAATTAATTCTTTTTTTTTTTTTTTATTTCAACAAATCCATGATTTCTTAATTGAAGTGTGATGTTGTTGATAAGAAAGTGTTAGTGTTGGGATTATCATTTTTATTAGGAAGTAGTGGTAGTAGTAGGACATAACATGACAAAGAAATGGTTGAAAAATGAAAATGGTTTGGGTTGTTAAGTTCATGGGCCTGGATTTTAACAAACTTGAACCACTTCTTTTGGGGTTATTTAGTTAGCATTAGGTGGGAAGGTGAAGGTTGTTTTCTTTTCGAAACTTTGCCTTTTGCTTAATACTATACATGGTTTTTTCGTGTTTTTTTTAAACGAAAAGGAAAAAGGCAGAAGGCAAACATGTATAGCATTAAGCAAAAGGCAAAGTTTCCAGAAGTAGCAAGAAAAAAAAAACACTCTTCACGAGAAACATGTATTCATGTTTTTTCTTTTTTTTTTTTCTTTTTTCTTGGATAAGTACATGTTTCCATGTTTGCTAATCATAAAATCTTCAGAAACATGTAAAAAAGAACCCAAAATTTTTAACTTCAAGCCCAAATCCAATCCACATTTTGTATTTTGGAACAAATTGAGCTAAGAAGCCCACTTGTGGTTCCAAAAAGCCCATTTTGAGATGACCTTGAAGGGTCCAATAAAAAAAAGAGAAGAGAATATTGAGGATAATTTAACCAAAAATTAATTGTACTCAATTACAAAATCTCCATATCATGAAGTGGTACAAAACTACAAATTGTCAATAATCAATTGGGGTTTAAAAGAAAAATAAATAAAAGACTGAAAATAATAATGTAATTCAAGAACACAGCAGTCCTCCCATGTCCAACACCATTGCAAGGAAAAGCACTTCCACTGTAGCATCCTTTCTTTTGCTTGATCCCTTTGCCTTGATCTTCAAGAACAAATGAAGAATTTGTCTTACCATCACTGAATAGAACACACCAAAAGAAAGGACCTTTATGGAATCCAACCAAGCCTACTCCCACCTCGCTATGCGATTTGTTTCTTACAAGAGATAGAGTCTTCTTGTCCTTGACAAGAACATGTGAGAATGCCAGTGATGGCTCCATGTACTTGGATTGGCATCCCACAATGTGGCCGGTTATGGTGCCAAAGGTGGGTAGCTCTACTCCACAATTGGGAGCAAAGACTTCAGTGAAGTCATCTTCTGGTGGCTTGCAGTTTACAGCATTGTTGTTGCTGCAGTTCCCCTTGCATAACTCGACATACTGCAGGGCCATGCACCCTAAACCAGGACTGCCATTTAATTGTGGAAGCTTTTGAGCAGTTCGATTCTTGTTAATTATGTCAACCAGATCATTTGCAGGATTTCCTGAAAGACAAACAGAATAACATACATAATCATAATATAACAAGGGCAAAAGAAGGTTCCTAAGTAGTTTGTATCTGATTGACTGTGGCACAACAAAATCTAACTTGCAATATCTCAGTACAAGCGACTGAGATTGACACTATCCACCAAACTGCTCTGCTAAATAAAGTAGAAAGCAAAAGTTTTCCCAAATTATTCTCTGCAATGAAGTTAATGATGACTTGCTTCTTAATACAACAAATGAAAGCAGTAGTTGCAGGTGCAGGCAAAGTGTGTGCATAAGAAGGAAAAAAGATTCAAAAACAAGTGTATTCTGAGTTAAACAGTTAAACTAGTACATTAATAGAAAAGGAGTTCTCTAATGATTAGGTCACCTAATAGCAGCTCACATGTTTCTTGAAACTTCAAATGATCAAAAGCTGGAATACTCATGCATTGCTATAAATAGTCAATTTAGACTTTAGCATTGCATCAAGGCCTTGCAGCTGAACAACTAGTAGCCAAAAGGAGGGGGGGGATCTTGGTTATTTACTTTTTACTCTAAAACATAAAACACATAGAACCATCTACCAAGATAAGAGAGCAGGTATATAAATGAATCATGGCAACCGCTAGAATTAGCTGAGGCAGAAATCAAACATAACATTCCCAAACATTTCTACACTGCTAAAGGAGTTTGAGTCACATAGCAACTTCGCATGGAGGGCAAATTAATTAAACTTTTTCATCAGATTTATTTTTCCTGAACCATAATGCATAGTTTTCATTAATAACCTCTAACCATTCATACGGTTATCATGACAATTAGACAGAATCCCTAATTTCAAAGAACACATAAAAAGGAAAGTTCCTTTTTTTTTTTTTAAACTCAGCACAGAGTTCAAGAGACACAGAAAGAGATAATGTAGAAACAAGAACAATCTTCGCGTAGATGCTATAGCAGCACAGTTTCAAAACCCCAATAAAGAGAAAATGTAGAAGCATATGCATACCATGGTTCTTGGAGCAAACAACAGCAGCCAGCAGCAGATGACAGAGAAGAATCCACCCACAGAACCAGAGCTTCTTCATCATCGTCACCATCACTCACAGAGAAAATGGGGTTCCTTTCCTGGAAGTCTAGGGGCAAAATGTGAAGCAGAAGAGGGAAAATCCTGGCTTAAGCAAAAGGGTTTACTCACTTTGTTTGGTGTAAACGGGAAATGGGGATGGAAAAATTTCGGGGAAAAAGTAGGGGATAAAGAAACCGAGTGTTGGAGAGATTAGGGACAAATTCTAAAAATGGTGGCCCCAAGTAGCCGTTGTTTGGGGCAGTTTTATATTTGTTTTATTGCTAAAACACCTTTTGAGAGAAAAACGAAAAATTTCAAGAGGAATTTTTTTCTGCTAATTCACGAGATATAAAGGAAGGATGCCTTTTCTTTTCTCTTTCTTCTTCTTCTTTC